CAATATAAGCAGAGATGGAAGTTCTCTCATCAATATTACCTCAGCAGTCAGCATCTATGAAGGCATGCAGATGAAAAGAAGAGTGGCGATGATGCATGATTCCTGCAAACTGGTTCCTTCAAGATAGTGCAAAAGTCGTTTAACTGCTTTCTAATGATTGGAGGTTGGCTTATATATAAACCGAGACAAGCGATTGGCAGAGAATGTTAGGCCTGGTCGAGTGAAAGAAAAATATTGAAGCCGGCCTACAACTGGTCGATACTCACTTGGATCAAATAAAGGTAAGTTGTCATTCAATGAAAGCGATATAGAAGCTGATATGGCGGTTGCAACAGGCGTGGCATCAAGCATTTAGGTATCCTCAAGAATATCATGGGCATACTTTTGCTGACAAAGAAACAAACCAGAAGTAGTATGTGTAACTTCAACACCGATAAAATAATGAAGATTCACAAGATCCTTAATAGGAAATCGTTCTCCAAGTGCTTTAATAGCTCGTATAACAACATTAGAGTTGTTCTCGGTAATTACTATGTCATCGACATAAATAAGTACGTACATAATAATGTTGTGGCTTGAGAAAATAAACAAAGATGTATCAGAGAGAAAATTGATAAACCCAACAGAAACTAGATAGTCCTTGAATTCCGTGTACCATGCTCGAGGGGCCAGCTTCAAACCATAGATGGTTTTATGGAGCTTACAAACATAAAATGGATTAGCATTATCAATAAAACCATGTGGTTGTTGCATTTAAACATCTTCAGATAATGACCCATGCTGAAATTCTATATTCTTGTCTCGACAATCATGGTCGAATAAATAAACCATGTTGTTTTACTTTTACTTTCTTATTTCTAATTTTTTGAATTAAAATGAGATTTCAAAAATTTTCACAACTTATTCGAATGTATTACAATCCTTTCATGGGTTTAAGATACACGCACTATTTTTGTGGTGGGGTAACAAATATTTTGAATTAAGATAACTTAAATGTATGTATGACAGGACCTATTCCGTTTAATCATAATTTGAGTGAGAAAACCATATTTTCGTTGTGTGAAGTAAATTATTTATATTTTTCAGTTTAATAATTCAAAATTTTGTATAATTTATTTATGTTAGATTGTGTTTTAGAAATACTTGGACTATATAATTTTAATTTTTTTAAAATAGAGGTCCTAATTAATATATTTTATTACAATCAAGAGAGTCATTTTTTAATATCTCATCTTGTTTGGATAAGGGGTGAAAAGATGAGAAAACAAATAAAAGTTATTGCAACTTTTTATTATTCAAATGAAAAAAATTTATGATTTGGACAAAGTAATTAATATAATTAAAATTAAAAAAATTGAATTGCTTAGGAATTAAATGTTTTTTGTTTTATGTTTTTAAGAAAACAGTTTTTTAGAAAATAAAAAATAAAAAATAGAAAATGAAAAACGTGTTCACGTGTTAATAGTAAAAAAATAGTATTTCAATTGAAAAGTTTAAAAAAAATTTATAACTTTCATAATCATTATAAAATAAAATAAAACAATATAGAACAAATTCAAAAACTTTTTTTATTTCAAATTTTTAAATATATACATTGATTTATCTATAATAATAAAGTTTAAAAAAAAATTTAATTAAACTTTCATAATCATTAAAAAAAATAAAACAATATAGAACAAATTTCAAAAACTTTTTTATTTCAATTTTAAATAATACATTGATTTATCTATAATAATAATAATAATAATAATAATATCAAATTTTCATCATTTGTAAATTTTTTTAAAAAAAAAATGTTATCATTATTAATAATAATAATAATAATAATATCAATTTTTCATCATTTAGTAAAATTTTTTTAAAAAAATGTTATCATTATACATATATTTTGTATATAATAAGAAAATTAGTTACATATTGAAGCATAATATAAAATTAAAATAATAAAATATTTAATTAAGTTATTTAAATTATTTATAATTTTCAAAAAAAATATTTCTTAAAAAAAGGTTTTACACATTATAATTTGAATCGTGAACTTTTTTTTTTTTCTAACAAAAATTTCCGAATTGATCCAAGTTCCGTCCCAAAACTTGGGTATCCGAATTTCATTTTTTCTTTAAAATTATAAGTGTCTTTTATATGAATTTCAAATCATGTCCATGAAAATTATTAAACCCTTTTTATTCTTAGTTTTTTTATGACACTAATTACTGATTAAAGTAATAATATAATATGATAAAAAAATAATTTTTATTTTTCTAAATATTAAATAAATCAATTAATTAAACATATATATTTTTCTTCTACTGTTCTATTTCATGTATTAAGTAAATATTTCCAAATATATTTTTTCTATTGAATAAAAAAATAAAAGGTTTAATAAATACAAGAGAAGATCTTAATTTTAACTAATCTGTATTATTATTTATGCTTAATGCTATCAATGTTTATTTTTCAGATAATATTTAATATTAAATTAAGTGAATATCAAATTTAACTCAGCTTAAAAGCAACAGTTGCAAAACAATGATGGTTTACATTGTAAAACAATTGCCCTTTTATATTTAAATTTGAATTGTACATAGTTTTTGAGCTATTTTATTTCATTATATTTGATGCTCATATTAACTAGAAAGTAACTACAAATAAATCTTTTATCATAACTCTAACTCTAATGGTAGATGATCAATAATTGATTACTTATTTGGTTTATTCTTTTTTTTTCCAACTCAAATTTGTATTTATAAATTTTGTTTAATTGTAATTAAGAGCACAATAATTTAGTAAGATTATGAGAAATCTTGATTAATTTTCAATCCTTTCCGAAAAAATAAGATTGGATGAATATATATTTAGTGGGATGGAATTCGGATTCCATTTTTTACGCGATATTTTAAGGGGATGGGATTAAGACTCCATTTCTTTTCCCATTGTTACTATCTAATAATTTTTGTATTATATATTTCATGTTGTAATTAAATGGAATAAATTTTTTAAAATAAAAAAATTATTTAAACTTGGTCAAATTCTCAGTACTTTTTTTTTCGTAGAAAAAAAACACAGCTTACCAAAAATAGTGAACTTCTAACTAAGAAACAAATCAAAATTTGATACAAGCTAAAACCGGCCAGGCCTAGACCAATCCTATTCTGCGCTTGTGGCCCAAACCAGCGGTCCACTAAACCAGCCGGCCATAGGATAGGAGTGGTTTCACGTGGGACCCATCTACTCCACATTTCCGAGTTGGTTTACATTCTCTTCTTCCCTTTACGCTCTTCCCGAACAGCCACTATGAATTAATAAGACACCAGAGAAAAACCAAAAGGTTCTCTTATGTTTGCCTCCGTCACTGTAAAATAGTCCCTCCGTCCACAATTTTAAAGGTTCGTCCGTTGAGTCATAGGGAAATGACGAAAACACCCTTGACCATCTTCACCACCTTCAAAGTTCCCAGAATCTGCAACTACAACCAGAAAAAGCATCACAACAAATAGTAGGGAGAGGGTCTCAAGCAAAAGACAGTGTCAAAGGCACTCAAAATATGAGCCAGTATATTGCAGAAAAGGGTTCACATGTTAAAGAATTTGTAGTTAAAGGGCCTCGAAATACATCACAACAAATCTGCATATCCAATAAGCAGTCCTCCACCGCCAGCACCAAGTCATGCCTTGCGCACGAGCGCCTCAAAGAGGCATCAAGCACCGCCACCATCATCACAAAAAGCTCAGAAAACGAACACAGCGAAGAAGATAGGGTTGGTTTTTGTGGGTATTGCTGCAATTTTGCAAATTGGGGTGGTTGGATTCTTGGTTTTCAAAAGAGTTTAAGGTACAGTAAATCTCAATATCTCCACATGAACCAAACCCCCTCGCTTCCATCCCAAAAATCAAAAAAAATAAAATAAAATAAAATAAAATAATTAGAAAGGATCTCCTTATGCAAGAATTTGAATGCAAAAAACAACTAATCCCAATCTATCGGTGACAATTGTTCCATTGTCGTTTGCTCACAGATGGAGCTGACTTTCTCGGTATTGTATTGTTCAAGTGGTCGGTTCTTTAACTTGAATTTACTTGCTATTAGCCAACAAAGAGAAATTATTTAGAAAATATAGTGGCTTTGGAGCGATTACTTCCTCTTCATTAGGACTTTTTTAATTAGCTATGCCAATTGCAATACTGGCTAAGTAATTTGACCAAATATCTACAGGTAAAGGATTTTCCATTGAAGAAAAAGAAGAGAATGATAATTTTATCAATTTCATATATTTTCTCACCTCTCTTACTTTTTCCATTGTTTAACGGAAAGAACCCTCAAAATTGATATAAGGGACTACATAGAGTGATAAAGGAAAATATCAGGGATGCTCTCTGGGTATTCATCCAAAATATGAGACTACTTAAATAATTTTATCATACCTCAAGGACTAAATATATATTTACCTCAATTTTTATTACTTTAACACTCTCAACTCTTACTTTGACATATCAAACACTTCAATTTATAAAACTACACATATCAAATGCTTTATATTTTCAAAATGATTTTATTTGCAATTCAACATATAAAATTAGATCAATTAAACACTTGTTAAAAAATTAAAATTTATAAAAATTATTATTTCAAAAGTCATACTAACTGCATATTAAATCAAAATTTTACAAATAAAAGTCAAATTCAAAAAATTATTGATATCAGTGTAAAAAATAGTGTAATATTATTAAGACTTATAAGTTCAATTGTCCGTTAAATCATCCACAAAATTCAAAATGTCACAAAATTAAAATTGTAAAATTCAAAAGTAAATTTATATATTCAGCCCCTATTATAACTTAAAAAAAATCACACAAACAATCATAGCGCCGTCCAGGCAGACATGACATGTGCATAACGTTCTCTCCTTCTGCATTTCCAATCTTATAGCTATGCATATTATGACCAAACAAGGCCACAATAATATTTTTTAATGATCTCAACATAAATAACATTCTTCATTCTCAAGAAAGAAAAACTTCATTAGGCAAATTAAATTGACAATTTCCAATATGGTCCTGCTATCAGAGGCTAATTCTTTATATTATTTTTCACTGAAATACCAAAATCTGTTACAACTGTGTGCAGCTCACATAAGTTAGCAGGATTGATCTAGAAGCTTTCAAGTCCTCAAAGAAAACAACAATATTTTTCTATCGCAAGCTACAAGAGTTTTTCTTTTTTTTTTTTTTTTTTTTTTTTTGCGACTTACTCGACCTTTTTGCTAGAGTTGGTTTCACTGCTATCTTGAGATGATGCAGCACCCTTGGATTCGTCAAATTCCATCAACTGCAAAATAAAATGTTATTCAGGAAATAACGCTAAATTACATTAAGGTCGCAAAGTTTTAAGAAGCTGACATACAACCCTTTGAAATTGGTTATAAAGCTATAAAGCGCACTCCAAATTAGAATAACTAAAAATTTAACCAAAGAAAAGAAAAAATGAAATTTTATTTTCATATTTCCATTAAAGCTAGATGAGATCAGCTCTTCCCTGGGGAGTACAGGATAATTAAATACCTCCTCCTTTGCTTGCAAAAAACCCAGTTATCTTTTTATAAAGGGTGCAAAGGTTCAAATTTGACCAGCTAATAAGGGTTAAGATATCAAATCTTATTCTGCAAATATCTATACCACCGCAGATGCCTAGAGGAATTGGAGAGCCTTTATTTTTCCTTTATTTTTCTTTCTTTTTTGAATTAAGTTCTGGTCCTTTCTAAATAATAATTATATTTGCGAGGAATTGGAGAGCCTAGGAATTGGAGAGCCTTTATTTTTCCTTTTTTTCTTTCTTTTTTGAATTGAGTTCTGGTCCTTTCTAAATAATTATATTTGCAAGGAATTGGAGAGCCTTTATTTTTCCTTTTTTTCTTTCTTTTTTGAATTAAGTTCTGGTCCTTTCTAAATAATAATTATATTTGCGAGGAATTGGAGAGCCTTTATTTTTCCTTTTTTTCTTTCTTTTTTGAATTGAGTTCTGGTCCTTTCTAAATAATTATATTTGCAAGGAATTGGAGAGCCTTTATTTTTCCTTTTTTTCTTTCTTTTTTGAATTAAAAATAATTATATTTGCTCATCCTATTTGTGCTTTTCTCTCTTTAGCATCCAAAAAAGAAAGGACAGCCTCTTAAAACATCAAGAATTGGGATAAGAAAAAAGAAATCACATACTATAATCAATACTAGAAAAAAAAACAAAAGATCATAAAGGTTTGAACTAACCGGTTTGACTTCACCATTCCATATGACATGAGCTGTTAAGAATCCTATTACAGCTGGTACAATGTATAAAAGTGCAGGCTGAAAGCAAACAAAGAATGCACAACAATTAGGATCAGATGTTCAAACAAATTAAGCACTACATTATGGATATTTTATACTAAGAAATAATACAAAATGAACATGTTAATTAACCTGTGCAGCTTGGAACCAGTTCATTACAATAATTGTAAGGACCAAACCAAATGTATATCCAAGAAAGGCGCTTTTAAAATATTGACTGTGTTTTCCTCTAGACACATCAAATCGCAATGCCAGCGCTACAAAAATACCTGAGAAGGAAAGGAATATATAATGAACAATTATGAACATGGAAATGCTCATTATAGAGCCTGCTTAATAATAGATGTAACAATGTATTACAACAAGCACTTGAGATCGAGAGATCAATTTCCATTTTGCAGTTGAATCTTATTCTCGAAATAAGAGAATAGCATCACAAGGTCTTGGATAGCAATTACAACTAGTGGCATAAACAAGTCGAGCCAGGCTCGAACCTGTCAGGCTTGAAGCTGAGCTTGATAGAATTAAACTTGGCTCGAGCTAGACTCAATAAAAGCTCAAGTGCAGCTAAACGTTCAACTCGAAAATATTGAGCTCGAGCTTGGCTTGAGACTCGAGTAAACCTAAAATAAATGTTATATATGTATATATAAAAGCTCGATAAGGCTCGACGAGCTTTCGAGCTAAACATCATTAGGCTCAAACTCGGCTCATTTGCTAAATGAGTTGACTTGAGCTCAAGCTTAATTCGAGCCTAACTTTTTCAAACTTTTTCCTAGCCAAGCTCGAACAGCTCACGAGCCAGCTCAGCTCATTTAAGGTAGAGGGACAAAGGGAAAGAAAGAGGGGAAAGAGAAGAGAGGGAAGGGCTGTTGTTAGTGTTGATTTTAGTTATAACTGCTCACTTAAAGTGAAAGGTAGATATACTCAGAGGTTAAAAATAAAAAATTGAGCTTCCCTCTAAAAGTAAATATATAGTGAGACTTCATCTACTAGAATATGTAAGCATACAATTTACTAAAAAACTAGCTTAAAATTTTCTTTCCAGCAGTCTACCTTGTCACTCCAGAGAGCAAACATGGGTTTTCAGAAAATCAAATGCTAAATCAGGCAATCCACCAAATAAACCAGAATTAGAGAGCAACTACTCTTATAGTTTCTACAAGGCCATGAAAAGGCATAGGGATTTAAAAATAATAATAATAATAATAATAATAATAGCAATGCTTGCCAAAAATCTAACATAACAGAAGCTCAATACAATAAACTGACAACAAAAATATGCATCAGACAGCTTGACAGTGCATAGGATACAACAGGAAAACAAACGAAGCCTGCTAATTTCATACACATTTAACTTTCACAATTGTTGAAAACTGAATGGCAGGCACCAATAGCAGACATTAACTTGAAACTTTAACAGCTTACCAGGGATAACAATGTCACCAAGCCCAAGCATGGAAAATGGTCGTGCAGCATCTGCTGTTGGGAACAAAAGCTACAGAAGAAACAAGCAGTCATGCAATTAGCATACTACAATACATCATGCTGAGTGCTACAATAAGAACCCATGAAACATCTTAAAGAAAAAAAGGCAAGGACAGGTGAAAATCACATTAAGCTGGAACACTAACCTTTATAGGAGCATCGAAAGATTTTGCCACACTAACCATCACAGGAGTGAAGAAAACCCAGAAAATATCATATACAAAAAGGCCAGCCTGTATCAAGTAGGATGAGAAAGAAAATGTCAGGAGCAATTGAAGAGTATCTGGAACAGAAAAGCACCAGAAGCAAATGTCCATAGATATTAAATATCCTTGCCAAATTTGACTATCTGATAGTGCTGGCAGCGATTGCAATTACAGGTGAATTTGCGAAATAACAAGGACAAATAATATTTCAGCAGACATGTGATGGGGCAAATGAACACACTCCCAAAACTGTCCACAAACAACTTCATAATACAAATAATAACTTGCAAAATTGACTTGCAAGGCAAGTCACGTTATTGTGCATTAGTTCGTGCTTCATTTCTAGGTTATAAGGGATTAGGGAAAAAACATAGGAAACTATAGACGATATGTTTGCCGGAGCCAAAAGGACAACACGTGGAGGGGAGAAGACAAGAAGTTTGGGGCAAATAATCCTAAGACCAAAATATTCAACAATGTTTTGCCAATTGAAAAAGAATATCAAGATAGTCTGTTATGACATAGCACTACCGCCAAACAAATAAAAACGCCAATAATTTAAACTTATCATATCTCTGAATATTAACTGTTAAGCAACAATAGGCACAAAGTAAATCAAAGAACTCCTTGGCCAGTGAATGATGCTTCTTACCAAGAGGATGGCACCAGTCTTAAAAGAACCAAGGGAAAGCATTTCAATTCCCTGCCAGAAAAAAAGAGCAAGAAATCATTCATTCATAGTAAACAAGTAGTAACCATCTCTGCCTCAGGAAAGCCCAAAAAAAAATTTTAAAAAAAGATAAATATTTCAAAAATTGCGCAAGCTAAACAGTTTATCAAGAAAATCACTTCCCAGTTCAAACAATCAACACGGCGAGTATTTTTCACATGCATATAAATGAAGATTGTATTTACAATGCCCAAGTATGATATTGTATACAAAAATAACCTACTACTAAGAACAATGCAGCATTCAATGAAATCCCTGGTGCAGACTACTATTCAAAAGAAAAGTTACCAATAGCATCAATAACACTATTTTGGCAATTCTAAGGTACTGAGAGAAAAGAATGTACATGCAAAACCCTCAAAACTTATTAAGCAAATACAGGGCATAGTTCATGTTACATGGGTTAGTTGAGGTGAAGTAGAAATTAAAAACATGAAAATGGCAATGCAAAAGTGTTAATAACCAATACTGATGATATGAGAAGCATATGGCTCTGATGCAGCTAAAGCAAAACTATCACTGAAAAGAAAAATAGAGAATTTAGAGTCATTCATCTACAGTATCATAAAATATTCTAGAAGGCTAGTTGAAAATTTCTCCAGCAACTAAAGCCACAAAAATAGAGTGAAAAGACAACTATTTACGAATGGAAATTAGCCACAAGAATGTTGCTTTAGAATGATGCCAGACCTGAATACAGAAAGCCAAGCCCAAAATATTGTTAGCCAGCCAATGCTTCTGAGAAGCATACCATGCACAAAAAAATGTTCCAGGAATTCCAGCAACAATCTGAGATCTGGTAAACTCAATCTCCAAAGCTGTGTAAGAAATGTGTAAGGAAAAACATCATTCTGCATAATGCAGGCAAGATGTCAACTGGATCAAATAAAACTCATATCTGGAAGACTGGATAAATGCATATACATACAGAAAATACTCATAGCAGGGAAAACCACTAGGTGCCACCAGATACTAAGTGCACATCACCCAAAAGGAGAAAAATAAAAGAGAATTTGCTCAAAAGAGGCGAAGGAGGACATTAAAGCATCTAATTTCTCCCTTCAAAATTCAAGTGAGACTTTGAAGTTTTGATCTCCATCAAATATAGAGATGGCTAGCTCTATCTAAAAAAACCCATATGGAAAACCAAGGTTGTTAATCAGTATTTTGTCATTTTTATCAAAATATCTTCCAAAAGTTTCCATCTTTTAATCTTCTAGGGTTTTCAACTCTGTAGCATATATTTTTCTTAATGTTTCCAGAAGTTAACAGAAACCAAAAGAATTGTATTGAAATACATGAACATAACTCCAAGAAATGAATAGGAGGGAAATGACGAAAAGCTCTAAACATACCACTCTCAAGCAACACGTGAACATTCTAATTCCTTTGAGATAACAATTAAAAAAAATAAACAAAGATAACGCAGGCTATTATAAGCAAACAAAACTGAAGCAACACCAACAACCCAATGTAAATTTCGAGAACATTTATTTTGCAGTTCAAGTTCTATGCTGCCAAAGAATAAGCACCCTAGCAGTACTGCAAGTGGTAGACCATGAACAATGCTAGAAAAAAAAATTAAATCTAAAGAAAGCTCACTTATAACAGAAACATGAAAAGATCCAATAATACATACAGCGGAAAAATGGAAAATGCCAGGTAATGACGTCATCATTCCAATGCTTTGGCATATATCGCTTTATAGCCGGTAACAATGTTGCCCTGCAAAAAGTGAAAACAATGAGTAGTCTAAAAGCACTGCAAAACAAAAGAATATATTTAAACATACAGTATCACATTTTTAATTACTAATTAGTATAATAACCCATACAGAAAGAACATACGAAAGTGCAATGATTCCAAGCACAAAAAAGTAGCACGTCAACACAGCATTAACCAAGTCTTTAGAAAGAAACTTGAAAAGTAAGAATAGCGATAATAGCATTGCACTCCCAACAAAGGGAAACCGCATTGCATGCTCGTTAGACATTGTCTCCTGCAAGATTAAACATAAAAATTTCTCAGTAAGCTTGCCGTAAAGCCAGTGTGATAATAAGGGAACAAATGATGCTGCTTTTACTATACATACTGAAGGTGGAGTTGGCTTGACAGATCGGTAGCACCCAACATAGACTGTGAGGCATGCTGTCAAGATGACATTTAAATTTGGATCTACCTTCACCAGAAGTGGTGCCAATGTTAAACCTGCATTTTAAACTTTTAGCATGCACCCAAACAAAAAAATCCAAGTTCCCAAAAATACCAGGACAAAGAAAGGCAGTATCAGAAATATAATATTTATAGAAAAAGAGATATTTTAATCTTAACAAAGAACTATCATATCAGAAACCTCATTTCCTTTCTTTTTATTTAGTTAGGTTATTATATAAGATATCAATGTCCACAAACCCCTTGATGAATATGAGATCCAACCACTCTACATGCTTTTATTATTGGAAAGGAGAAAAAGGAAAAAAAAAAAAAAAACTTGAGCAAATAGTTGCAGACTGTCATTACCATATAATGCAAACGGGACAAATGGAAAGACAAACAAAGACAGGAAGGTTGGACAGTTCTTTTTCCACATATAATGACATGAGTTGAAATGCAAGAAGAAAACAAGTTACATCTATCTAAGCTCATTCAACAGGATTTATCTGCACACCATCAATCTCTCATCAACCTTAATTTGCAACTGCTGCTTCAACCAAAAAATAAAAATAGTTATGGTGGTCATCCATAACTCACCAAAAGTTACCTAATTCAACCAAGGCTCGACCTAACACCTATTAATTAAGGCCAGTAATATCTTACATGAATCCTTTTTCCAGTTCTTTCAGATTCAGGGTGGACAATTTGACATCCAAGCCAAGAACTTCCTTATCTTCCCTTCATAGATAGAACGATATTCCTTGCCAAAACGCCAATAGCACACCTTATCCACCACCTCACCCAAATACTAAAGACTTCATTTTCCTTTCTCCTCCCTCATTACAAGAAGGAAACAGAGATATAAAATTCAACAAGAAGCTATCCACATACATATCTTGTATTGGACTTTGGACAAGTTAGCATAAATTAAGACAACAAGCCTTGACTTCATTGAAGTCAACACTAGAAAGAGAAACAAATAAACTAACAACAAAGATCAAAATGATAACCAAATGAACTCATTATACAATCAATTCTTACAACTGTAGATTAGACATAGCAATCACACCCCACAAACACACAGTTGACAGTCCATATAAAAGGAAAAAGAGAAACAAACCTGCTAAAGCAAAATTAGCAATACGTTCGTTGTTCTTCATTGTTCTCCAATAATTTAATTATGATAGGGGACTTCAATAATGAACTGAAATCTATCAAAAGATAGCAACTTTAGAGATCAAGAAGATACAACTGAATCCAAAAAATGAAAGAGAACAATCAAACCATTATAATTTTTTAAATATTGAGATCAATCACACTCTGTGAGCACATGCAGTGATCTTACTTCAGTAAACAAAAGCAAATCGAGAGATTCCTAACTCAAAATTCTCATGCACCAATATAAAATTAAGAAAATAAAAGAGATGTACCTGAGATGTGTCCCCTTTCTCTCTCTAAAAGAAACTGCACAAAACAGATCGGAGAGAGTTCGTCAACAGGGAGAAAGAAAGAGAATTTTTTTTCAGAGAGAAGACAGATTTGAGATTTGGATATGTGAGAAGAAAGAGAAAGAGATATAGGGTTTTACCCGAAGAGGATCGGGTCTACTGTAAAATTAAAATGGGGACGAAGAGTTATTATTACCATATTAACATGTCAGTGACGCAAGATACAGTCACTGCCAATAAGGTAAGAAAGCCTTGCAGAAAAAACAACTGATGGAATATCATCATACACGCGGTATCCTTTCATTGGGTTGTGACGGTGATTGCAGTCCGTCGGTTGGTATAGATGTATGTTTTCCATGATAATTTTGCTACATTACGTATTTTCGTATCTGAAAGGAACCGTACCGGTCTTAAAAAATCAATTTTTAATGCACTTTAAGTAAAGCCACGTCCCATGAGGTATTTCGACAAATCATCTTTTGCCATGTCATCAACCGAGAAATATCTGTCTTTCCTGCTGAATATTCATAAGAATTTACACGCTAAATATTTGCGGGCTGCGCAAATATATTTTGAATATTATAATAATATTAAAAATAAAATAATTATTAGACTAATATATAGGCATGGCCACCGGTTCGGTTCTAACCGGAACCGAACCGTACTGTATACGAACCAAAACTGGTGGTTCAAAATTTTGAACCAGAACCGGCGCCGGTTCGGTTCTAACCGGAACCGAACCGTACTGTATACGAACCAAAAACTGGTGGTTCAAAATTTTGAACCAGAACCGGCAGTTCAAGGGCCGGTTAAGGTTCATGTGAATGTTAAAAAATGAACCTGAACCGGCCCGAAACCGGCGATTTCGGTCCGGTTCGAACCGGATTCACAAACAAAATTATTTGTTGCAATAATACCTAATTTATAAAAAGTAGTGAAAAAAAACATCATCATTTCACTTATTTGGTAAAAAAAAAGGTTTAGTAGTGAAAAAAAGCATCATCATTTCACTTAATTAGCCGTTTGAACTTTCGATGTAATTATTGCAAAAAAGAATATGCATTCAAGCTTGGTTGGAGAAGGATATGGCACTCTCAATAGGCATTTAAAATCAACATCATCCAAGTGAGGTAGGGAAATGGATGTAACTCAAAACTCTATTATCGTCATCAAGGTATGGTGGATCCTAACACTCCTCTTTTAAATATAGTGATGAAACTAATAAAATTGATGAAATGGCTAAAATGGTTTGTATGAACTATTATCTTTTTTCCATTTGGTGAAAAAAATTGGATTTATACTATTGTAAAAAACATTAAATCCTTAGCAAAAAAGATACCTAGGAATACACTTAAAAGGAAATATTTATCTATTTATTTAAAGAAAAGAAAATTTTTTAAAAATTTATTTGCAAATCTTTAAATGGGTAAATTTGCCATTTTTTGTATATTTGGTGTTGAACTGGCAAACTCATTCTTATATGGATGTTACTCCATTGGATTGATAATGAATGGAAATTTGAAAAAAGGAATTATTGACTTTAGAGTTTTTGATGACTTCTCCACACCGCGCATAATATTCTTTACCATGTTAAATATTATTTTAGAAGAATATAGTTTGACTAAAAAAATTTTTACAATTGGTTTTGAAATACTAGTGCAAATACTGCCATCAATAAATGAATTAAAAAACTCTTTGTCAACCTAAATTTGGTGGACAGTTCTATGTGCACACTTAGGTAGATCGGGCGGGCTAGAAGTGGCGGCGGTTTCCGGCGGGCGGTGGTGTGACGGGAGGGATGGCATGTCATATTTTAAATTCATGTGTTCAAGATGCATTAACAACATTAAATATATTTTTACGTCCAATTAAAAATGCTTTAAAGATCATTTATGGGACACATGGATATGTTAGAGAAAGCAATTTAAAAATTTTGTCACCATGGGAATAAATATATTAAAAAATTTTCAAGAGATATCCTATCAGGATGGAATTCAACTTATAATGTTAAATGGAGTTCTTATGAATTATAAAGATATCTTTCTTCATTTATGCAATTGGCATGCATCACTATTCAATCTTTATCCAACAATTGGACTATTTGTAAAAAAATATTTAAATATTTTGGCCAAGTTTTTTGAAAATTGTACGAGGATAATGTAATCCTACCTCCATTTATTTTCCCCATTGGACTCAGAAAAAAAAAATTTGCAAACTTTATCCACCATTGATGATGATTTCTGACTCATTAACGGGTCACACTGATGGACTAAAATTAATGTATATAATTGGGAGGTTATTTTCCATGTAATAAAAAAATAAAAGAACATGGGCTTTGATTTTCTCTAATTTTCTAGAGGATACGTAGGCCAATTAAATAAAAAATTTTTCAATTTTAATTTAATTTCAAGCCCTCAAAATAAAAATTATAATAAAAGTACAAATTTGTAAATTTAAGTAAACAAATTAATAGATAGTTTTGTTTTAAAATTTATAATAATTTATTTAGTTAATAAAATTTTTAAACATTTAAAATATTTATTTATTTATGAATTCGGAATCAAAATTTTATTTTTTTTAAAAATATAATAATTTATTTAGTTAATAAAATTTAAACATTTTAAAATTATTATTTATTCATGAATTCGGAATCAAAATTTTATTATTTTTTAAAAAATCTGCGTAATGCCGGAACCGAATCGGAACCGTAATTTGAACCGTCGGTTTGCCGGAACCGTGTTGAACCGTGCCAGAACCGGAACCGGATGTTCAAGGGTCGGTTCCGGTTCAAAATTTTAAACATCTCGAACCGGCGGTTCAATGAAACGAAACCGGCAGTTCATTGAATCGGCCATGCCTACTAATATAATTTGTATTTTAATTTTTATGAGGAGCATGGTAGGTTGTCATTATTAGTTTTTCTTTAAACATGCGAGACCCAATGAACAACAATAATATTGTGGACTACTCAATAGGGGTAGCCCTCCTTTTTGAATAACATTCACTAAATTAGTGATAACTTTTGTGGCGGAGACCTCTCACTCCATACATCTTCTACAAGAGATAGGAAGACTAATCAGACCACACCTAATTAGCTGCTATTATTAATTTTTTACTCGTTGTTTATAATTTTTTATTAACTTTTGTACAATATTAAATATTGATTATAATTTTTCTTTTTTATTGTCTAGATTTTTCTATAATTTTAAAATATTATTTCATCATCTAATTAAAAAGAATACAATGGTTAATTGTAAAATGGTAGGCAATATATATAAACACACATTTTTCAATTTAATTTATAGATCATCATTCATTTAAAATTCACTCTAGTCGTGCATAATGTACAACATCAACTAACAAACATGTTTTTCAATATAAAACATGTACTAGATCTTTTCCTCTCTTTCTTTTAAACCTAAAATCTTAAAACTCTCTTTTCTTCTTCCGCGAGCAGCTCACAGGTAGTCACACATTTTCCTTTTTTGTTTCTGTTTTTGCAAATAATATTTAAATTTGTATACAGATCTAAGTTACTGTCGCCAAATATTGGGATTTATTATTTTCATATCTTGAGATTTTACACTCATATCTAATTTTGAGTTATTGTTGTCGCCGTTATGGTGACTTTATCTAATGTCTTTTGTCATTTGGATAGTTATGCAGAAAAAATCTCAGATTTGCTCTCTAATATAAGGAAGAAATTTCAAGATAATCAGATTGGACTTGTAGAAAGACCATAGAGTCGAACAGTGGCCATAAGTAGCCATCAATTGGAGCAAGAGATCGCCTATAGCACAAATATTATATTCTGTCAACTCGATTAGATACTTCACGTCAATATTGTGTTTTTTTATTCTTTGTATAAAGGGTTTATTATTTGACTTCTTATACAAAAATATAGAAACATACTGATATGTAGGGAAAATTATTGTTAGGTCCCCAAAATTTTACAAAATACATTACTTCGTCCTTACTGTTTGTATAAATTATTCCACACTCTCTGACATATGCTTATGTAAGACTTTTTAGTCCTTCCGTCGAAAAATTAATATTTTCTTCCGTTAATTTTATATAAAAGGACGAGAATACCCTTATTATACGACCCACAAATATAACTTTTTCACTTTTGATGATCTTTAATTATGGCATATTATTAGACTCATAAAAAGTGACCGGCGGAAAGTCGAGAAACCCATCTCTCTATTGGTCCACCTGCCATAAACCCATCTCTTTGTTATCGACAACTTAATACCATAAATCTGGACAAGACAAAGACGATGAAGGCATTGAATTGAATGGGAAAGTGGAGAAAAGAAGCTCAATCTACAACTTGTTCCATCTCCAATCACAACCACAGCCTCAATCCAATCTCCCTCCACCTCCCTAATCTCAATATTCGATCAAATCTAGATTCAATGCTAATTGTTTGGTTCACTTAATTTTTTATGTAGGAAAATGGCTCTCTTTGGGATTTTCTTTGTGGGTTTTCTTATAACGGCCTCATATGTCAATGGGTATGGTGGTGGTGGTAGTTGGTCAACCTCGAAGTCTTCTTTTTCAACTGTTGAAGTATCGAAAATATTTAAGGGATAAATCTAACAGCTTCCTTATCGACAACTTCAATAACTAGTTGCTAGAAGAGTTTTGGTGGAATTGAAGAAGGTTTTGGGATTGAATGGGAAAAGCAGAGTTAAAAGAAAAAAATGTCTTCTTAAATGTGAAAGAAAGGGTGCATGGGGTCTGTTGGGGATCTAGTGGGAATTTTAGTTGCTTAACTAAGGGTACTTCAAGTTAGATAAAGTCAAAACTATATTTTTATTTAGTTTTCTATTTATGTTTGCGGGTCCCAATAAGGGTATTTTTTGTCTTTTTTATAAAATTAATAGAAAAATATTTACTTTTTCGATGTAAGGATTAAAGAGTTCGATGTAGCCATACGTAAAGGAGTGCAGAATAATTTGTATAAAGAACAAGGATGAAGTAGTGTATTTTGTAAAACCTCAGAGACATGAAAATAATTTTTCCTTGGTTTTTATCTCATATCTGTACATAGTTTCCTCTAAATAAATTTTTAGTTTGATTTCTTCTATATATGTATATATAATATGTAGAAAATTTAATTGAATAGGAAATATTAATACTTTTATTAGTTATTTTACGAC